CTGAGGAAGACCGGCTCTGAGCTAACATCTATTGCCAATCCTCCTCCTTTTTTTCCCCCAAAGCCCCAGTAGATAGTTGTATGTCACAGTTGCACTTCCTTCTAGTTGCTGTATGTGGGACTCGGCCTCAGCATGGCCGGAGAAGCGGTGCGTCGGTGTGCTCCTGGATCCGAACCGGGCCGTCAGTAGCGGAGCGCGCGCACTCAACCGCTAAGCCACGGGGCCGGCCCTCACCAACATTTTTTATTTTCCATATTTTTTATTATGGCCATTCTGGTGGCTGTGAAGTAGTATTCCATTGTGATTTTGATTTGCATTTCCCTAATGACTAACCTAGATAACTTTTTAATCCATCTACTTTTCTCCAATCCACTGACTTGATTTTTAAGCTGTTATACTGCAACAGCCTACTTCATAAGGTAATTATTAGATTAAATGAGTATATATATTTATCAATTATTTAGAACAGTGCCTGGCATATAGTAATCACTGAATAAGTGTAAGAAAGAAGGAATAAAAGGAAGAACAGAAGGACGGAAAGATGGAAGAAAAAAACAACTTCCTATCTATTTTTCCCTTTCCCGTTGTCCTTAAGTCACAGTTCAAAATCCCTATCGTGACCTGCAAGGCCCAAACAGGTCTCCTTTCAGTTTCCTGAAGGTGCCCCATTCTCATCTGCCTCATAGTCTCTGCACACTCTCATCTCTGTCTGACACAACCCCCAACCCCAGCTCTTTGCCTGTTGACTCTGAAGCCTCAGCTTATTTATGAGCCCCTCAGCACAGAGGCCTTCCTGATCCCCCACACCAGGCACCATGGACAATAGAAAATAGGACCTTATCTCTTAGGCCTGAGCAAGACAGCCCCCTGCCCTGGGCTTAATTCATTTGGAGGCACCATATATTACAACCAAAAAGGAACTAAATCTATTAAAAACCCAGGGTGTTCCTGTTACTTGTGATTCAGCACTCAGTGCCGGCATAGAGCAACTGGTTACTCTAAGCACATATTCCTGAGACGAACACAGTTCGGGCCCCAGAGAAACACTTCTCGATAAATCTTGCCCTACGTCTTCGGAAAGAAAAGTTATGTCTGAACGCCCTGCAGGTTTGTGGTTGTGTCACTGTGAACTTTGGAGAAGATGGGGCTTTGGAGTGCAGGGAGGAGGAATTGAGCTGTCAAAGTGCTTAGCTAAGAGAAAAGAAAATGGACTTGTCAAATCCTTCCTCTGAGATAGCACAACTGCAACAGATTCCTGCACTACATGCTATTTCCCAGGAGTGCTGAGGGGCCCCTTTCTTGCTCCTTTTTGAGTTCCAATTTCTGGTTCTGGAGGCACTCATGAATTAGTGTAGTATTTGCAACATTGCACATGGTGGCTGAAGAACATTTGGTAGTATTAAACAATTTATATTATTCTTACATTTTTATATTTGTAGGTGTAGATGTAACACATATGAAACGTGATACTTATCCTTTTTATTGTCAGCTACATAGACATTGAACAATAAAATTGCAAATAGTTTCATTTTTATAAAAATATTTAATGAGATTTAAATTCAAAAATTTTAATGAAGTGTTCAGCTCTTTGGTAGTAACTTTGTCTCTTTCTATTATCTCCTCTGGAGGAAAAGAATACTGGATCTAGAATGGCCAAGTTTTTAGCAACCCAGGTTCAAAACCAAGGGACTCCAGGGGTCGGCCTGGTGGTGTAGTGGTTAAGTTTACACCTTCCACTTCGGCGGCCCAGGGTTCACAGGTTCGGATCCTGAGCGCGGACCTACGTACTGCTCATCAAGCCATGCTGTGGCAGACATCCCACATATAAAGTGGAGGAAGATGGGCACGAATGTTAGCCCAGGGCCAATCTTCCTCAGCAAAAAGAGGAGGATTGGCAACAGATGTTAGCTGAGGGCTAATCTTCCCCACCAAAAAAATAAAACCCAAGGGACTCCAGCCAAACTTTACTCCTTTCCTTTCCCATTCTCTTTGCTTAGAATATTTTGTCCTCCTTCCAACCTTAGTGAGTGAGGTGTGAGGAAGAAGCTTGAGCTAAGTCCTTGACAGGGATGTAGGGTATACTTGTGATTATTTGCTGGGGCTCTTTCAAGGTGAATTTGGGGAGTGGTAGATGGATGGGCATAGGGGTGGACGAAAGTCCCAGATTCATTCCCCATCCTGCCCAGAATCTTAGGGCTCAGGCTGTCCTGGCTGGGCTAGCACTTTCAGCTGCTCTCTCTCTCCAGGAGCCTGCAGGGGCCTGGAATGTCTCTGTTCTCAGGGCCAGGGTTTGGAGCGGTTCCTTCACGGGCCTTCTTTCCCACTCCAGGGGCTCAGAAGACTATCCTTTCTGACGCCAGAAGAGAGGGGTGAGACCAGATGGGGACAGGGTCCCCTGCTCATTCTTCTCTGTCATCCCACAGATCATTAGCGACTAGGCTATCCACAAACTCAGAGAAGGGAGAAGAGCTGGACCCAGAGGCTGGGGGTGGGGGTGGTAAGGAATGTTAGCAGACAGAGGGAGAGGTGTGAATAGGGAGAGGTCAGCCAGGGGAACACAGAGAGCTTGAGCTAAGAACCAAATCCAACAGTGGAACAGTCTTTGTCCTTGAGATCTCCCTGGATCCGAATGAATGAGCCACACACCACAGGTTCTTGGGACAGGCAGTGTGGGGCAATTGAAAAAGCCCTGGACTGAGGGATTTTTGATGGGCATTTGAATCTGGGGCTGCCTCTTAAGAACTGTGTGATCTTGGGCAGATGAGGTCTCCGAGTCTGTTTCCTCTTCACTACTGTTAGCACATGCTTTGGATTCAGATAGACTCTGCCCCTAACACCTGCATGACCTTGGACAACACTTAACCTCTGAGTCTCAGTTGCCTCATCTGTAAAACAGGGGCAACAACACCTTAGAGTTGTTGTCAGGATTAAATAAGATAATTGATGGGAAATGGATTCCATCAGTGACTTAGGATCATGGAGTAACAGTGAGTTTGGGGCCAGGTGACATGGGTTTGAATCTGCCCTTAGCTAGATGTGTACCTTCTCTGAGAACCAAGTCCTCCTCTGTAAGAAGGGGGAACAGTACTTTCTTCATGGGGCTCTTGAGGGGCTATAATGAGATACGGTGGATGAAAGCACTTTGCACAGCTCTGTACAAATGTGAAGATTATTTTGTTTTTCAGCTCACCCCCTAACAAAGGCTGAATAAGTACTGAATTGGCCAAAAAAGGGAGGGCGAGGGAAGGAACGTGAATCTTAGAGGGAGTAGCAAAAAAGCCCAAATAATCCCTGCACTGTGTTTCTAACACTTTCTGTTAAGCCCGAGCTCCAAGGAATAGCTCCTGTCCACTGGGAGTCGGGGGGTGGGATGTGAGGAAGGAAAAGAAGCCCACTGCTGTCAAAGCCCAGGAAGGCATGGAAGGTCCTTGTCTGGTGGGAAAAAAAGAGAGAGTCTCCCAGGGCCCTGGTCCCTCTGTGCCTCCCTCCAAGGCCCCAACTCCCTTGTGACGCACAAAGTACAGCTCCCAGCCTTGAGCCAAGAAATGCTGCCTTCCAATGCCCCCCACCTGGCAGCTACTAAGCAGATCCAAATATGCTCAGGGTTGGATTCCAGAGAAAAAAGACGGGAGTTTTGCTGTCCCCTAAGGGCAGCTTGCCCCTCCTCATGCCTCACTAAGCCAGGGCAGAGCCCCTCAAGCCAGTCTCCTCCTCCCCTCCTCCCCCACCCTGTGCCCTCCAATTCCCTTTAATAGGTCTGAACCAGGTCACAGTGCCAGGGGCAGGGCCCTGTCGGTCCTGGGCTCCACCAAGAGGCTGGATCATGAGAGCCCTTCCCTTGGGAGCTCGGCCCACAGGATGTGCCAGGGAAATGTTTCACCAGATTAGTGCCTCCTGGGTGGGACAGCAGCAGCAGGTGGCAGGAACAGGGCAGGGGAGGGAGCAAAGCCCAAGGAGCCCTTGGGAGGAGCCCAAGGACAGAGGCTTTCTTCTCAAGGCTCCAGCCTCCAGAACTGAGGTTTGGGATTCCCCCAAAGTGCCCTGGCTCAGTTTCACCCCTCAGTGACCAGCTGATGCTGCACAGATTATTTGGCCAAGAGTTGTGGTAATTACAGTAGTATCACAGTTTGCCTAGGTCCTGCTCCAGATGTAGAATAAACCGGAGGATAGAGGGAGGGATGCAGGGGCAGGAGAGGAGAGATGAAGAGCCAGTTAAATGATCCAAGAAGAGAGGAGAAAAAAAGGGAAAGGAAGTTACAGCAAGAAGAAATATCTAAGCCATGGAGAGGGCAGCCTGGCAAGAGTGCCCTAAATTAAACACCTCTAGAAGGTCAAACCTGGTTGAGATTTTTCACATCTGCATTTGTTAAGTCAGATTTTAACAAGGGGCAGTTAAATAACCAGCGTAAGACAGACAAGCCAGATACCTTTAAGACAGGGACAAGAAGGCAGTAAATGCTGGTCAGTCAAGGGGTGGAGATTCCTCTGGCCCTCCCCTACTCCCTGGCCTTGTTCTTGGGTGAGTTCAGGAGCGAGCAAGGCAGGTGGGCGATGTATTACGATGTGGTTTTGACCAAAAGTTTCATCGACATTGGCTTTCCCGTTGGTTGGTCCTGGCCCAGCGTCAGGTACCCCTAATCCGGCTGGCTCCTCCACCTCACAGTTCGTGCAGGTGAGGAACTGGCCCCCAGTCTGCCTCAGCATTCTGGATAAACTCAAAGATGAATTTCACCTGGGTCTCATAGGCTTGGACTGAGATTTTCTCGTTGATTCCGTGGATGCTGAGGGAAAGAAATTTGGGAGAAGAGAGCAGAGAGCCAACTGCTATAGACAAGTGTTATTACAGAGCACCCCTCACCCCACATCCCCTGAAGCCACTGGTCTCAGACTCTCCAAGAGGTAGGAAGTGGGCAGTGTGGGAGAGGCCATTAGTGAGCAGTGAGGTTTCATATGACATGTTGATCATCTCTCCAGGATCCATGCTCATGGCAAAGAACAGTGGGGGTAGATAATAATAAACTCCTGGGGAATTCAAAATCATCTCCTGCTCTGGAATCCACTGGATAATTTCCCCTCAGACGGGAAATTATCTTTCTAATTCTCTCTCTTAAGGCCAGAGTCCCCAGCTAGACTCATCTCTAAGCCAGCACCCCCCTGCCCCACCCTACATTACTAGGGGCACAAGATGATAGGGAGGACAACTGCCCAGGGTACCTATGGGGTCCTCTGCTTCACCTAGGAACTTCACTATTGGATCTCATGCCCACAACCCGCCTCCACACAACATAATACAACACAGCACAACACAACACAACAGACAACCAGACCACACATGTAACTTCAAAGATGAAAGGAAATAAAGAGTAGCTACCTGCCCTACCCTCTTTAAAAAACAACCCATCAAAGCTGTTCTTAAGCTCATATTCAAATATTTTCATGCTGTTGGCAACTGACTTATGGTGGGGAAATCAAGTCTGGATATGATAAGGAGCAGAGAGGTAAATAGAAATCATCCCCCCACACCACAGGACTAAAAATGTGCTGAAGAACCCACAAAGTAGTAATTCACATACATGAGTCAAAATTGGTGATCATGTCTTAGAGTCCTATAGAGTGTTTTCTTCTGAGAATTCAAAACACGAGCCTACCTTTGACCTCATGTATGTCTGCATTTCACTGAGTGGTAATTGAGAACTCCGGCGTCTCCCCTTTTAAGGGAAAATGAGGTCCAGAGGGTAAGCACTCTCCCAAAGGGAGGAAGAGCTGGCATTAGACCCTAAGGGTCCTAATTCCACCAGGTTCTCTCCAACCATAATCTGATTATCTCCAACCCTGAAAAATAGTGGCCAATTCCCCAAAATTCTGGGGAGTGGCAAGACTCTGCAATGAGGAAAGTTGGCCAATTGGGTTCTACTGTGTCTCTGTTTTACTTTGTGCAAACCTTGACTTTCCTCCATTCTGTGGACTGTCAGGAGAATGGGGTGGGAAAGGGACAGGTCAGATGTATCTCGTCTCTCCCCGCTGCTGTTAAACCTGTTCCACTCACTCACCTATGGAAGTCCTGAGGCTGCAGGTAGAGGGGGTTGAACTGGTAGATGCCAGTTGTAAGATTTGTATAGTGTCTGCTGTCTGTATTGCCAATGCAAATACCTAGAAAGGGAAGATCCAGAGGAATGGGGCTTTATGTGAGCAACCAAGACAAGGTAGTGGTGGGAGGTGGGCTGGAAAATTAAGACCCCCAGGTCACTACAGAACAGTGCCTGGGCCCTCCTGGGAGCCTGCAGCTATGAATTTTTGTCCTTCAGGCTACCCATTCTCAAAACTTTACTAAAATACCATTTCAGCCAGAAACATGGTATTTCCTTCCAAGGCACGTGAGATATACCTTGAATGGTCCAAAGCTAGGTACCCTCTTTCTGTGATGATCAGGGAGGCCAATATCTTCATTTCATACCAGTATCCAGGTTATTTTAGAAGTCTAGATGATCAGAAATCTAGATATCACTTCTTTTTTTAAAAAATTTTTTGTTTATTGCAGTAACATTGGTTTATAACATTGTATAAATTTCAGGTGTACATCATTATACTTATCTATAGATATCACTTCTTTATTGCCTGAGCTTTCGTGTATATTACCTTAGGTGAGAAATAAACACTCTCTGGGCAACTTTACTGCTGTAACATGCAATCCTCTTAAAGTAGAACATAATTTCCTGTTATTCTTCTCCTCTGTAGGATTACTCTGCCTTCCTAGAGTCAAACCTCAGGTTTGGAAAGTCCCAGGATACTCTCCAATGTCCTACTCTCCTGAAGGTAGCAGGTCACCCCACGCCCCAGCTGGGGCTGGGATTTGTCCCCAGTAGGAGTATTCCTTGGGAAAAAACCCCCTGGAGCATCAGTTAAAGCGTGGTGGGATGATTTGCAATGGTAACTTGTTTTGTTCTATTTTCTACTCCTGGTTTCAAATGGATAATTAGGCCCTTCACAATTCCTTGCTGTGGGGATTTCTGGCACTTGATGTCTGCTTATCCTTTTTTCCATACAAGCCTAACTCTGTCAATAGGATTATGGCAGGTACCCCAGAAGGGAGAGGGTAAGGTAGGGAGCCTTTGAGGGTCAAGAGACGAGAATCTGGAACTGTGAGGGTCAGGGTCCCGGGACAGTGGGGACCCAGGCCCTGCTCTGTGGCAGGAGTCCAAGGAGGTGGTAGACCTCAGAGGGGATGGCTGCCTGGTATGTTCAGGGAGGATCTTAGGTCTAGAGTCAAAGATCCACTCCCCAGACAGGCCAGGGAATCAGTGGAAATCAACCTGAAGTGACTTTGTGGCTGGGACAATGGATGTCTCAGAGGTAACCACAAGGACCCATGACCACTGGCTAAGGGACCCTGATGCTATGTTGTTGCATAAGATTCCGAGGGCCTGATTCAAGGTGGGGGCAGTGAGGGTGCTTGAGGCCTCAGTAATGTCTGAGGTTGAATTTCCTGAGGAGTGGGTCAGATTTAAATTGACTAAAAAAACCAGTCTGCTTTTTTCACACTTGAGAAGTTTGTGCAGAATTTCACTGTAAGCTCTTTAAGGGCCCATGCCTCGCAAAGGGGCAGGTCCTAAGTAGGAGCTTAGAAAATGAGGGACTCCATGATTAAACCTAGATAAAAGGAAACTGGACACAGGTCTTAACATTAGACCGTCTCCTCCTGACATCATAGACTGGAGAGTTCCAAACTGTGGTCAGCCATCATCTGGTGTCAGAATCCCTTGGGGTATTTATTTAAAAGGCAATTCCAGGGTCCTCTCCAGATGTGGTTAACTTGAATCTTTGGGAGTGGGTCGAGGTAATCTGCATTTTAGTAAGTTCTCTAAGTGATCCTCTTCCACTCTTAAATTCGAGAACCACTGTCCATACAGCATAGATTTGGAAGGTATGCTGGAAGACTGGGGGAGGGTCGTAGAGGTGCTGCTGCTGGGAGAGGTTAAGGGGGTTAATGCCAGTAGTAGAGCCAGGAGGCATTTCTGGGCTGTGAGTTCAGAGCTCTGCTGCTAAGCTGGTATCCTAGAATGGATCAGAACCAGACTGGGGGAATCGGGGCCAATCCTCTCCTCCATGCCAGAGTGGCTGGCCCAGGTTAAGCAAGGACCCAGGCTTAACTGACCTAATTTATTGTTTCTGCTCCTTTCCTGTTTGCTTTCTCACTTCCACTCCAAGGGGAAAATACAGTTCCAGTCCCATCAGGAGGGAAAGCAGCCAGCTGTTTCCAGGCTGAACAGCTGGGGCGGGGGTTGGGCAGTGAACACTGCCTAGGAAACAGTTCCAGCCCCCACCTCTCTCCAACCACAGCTGATGAAGTCATTACCTGGGGCAACAATATGGACTTCTGGGAAGGCGGACTGTATGGTGTGGCGGAGCAGCTGGTAGCTGAAGGCCTGATCATCAGAGGGGCTGACAGGCAGGGGGTCAAAGGCACTCAGCAGGTGGAACTGGACCCTGTCATCAGCCACAATGTTCTTGACGCATTCTAGGACCTCGAGGGACCAAAGGGAGTTCAATTTCTTGTTGATCTGCCACCCAAGTGCAATATGAATTTAAACAGTCCTGATTTTTCTCCAGCAAGGCAGGGCCCTGGAATTTACAGAGGAGATGCGTTTTAGCACTGGGACCTCAATTTCAGCCTACTGGCTATAGGAGACAGAAGAGCTGGGGCTTCCTGGGAAGCAATCTACACCACGGTAGATTTAGGTTAAGTGTTCCGGAGGCTTGCCTCACAGCCATGAAGGAGGTGGGGAATTGGAAAATCAGGAAATTACGTGTCCTTCCCCTTGGGTTGTGAGCCATGGGCTGGGTGGGATCATAGAAGAGACAGCAGAATGGGAATCTCAACCATCTCGAGGCAGGGGGATAGATGTGATGACCTCACTTCAACCTGGGGCAGTCTGACAGGTGTTGAAAGGGTCACACACTTTCTTTCCCCTCTCTGGGCATCCTTGCTTCCTGTTTGTAACCAACTGCACTGGAGCCAGGAAGATGAGCTCACATAGACAAAAAGTCAGGAGTTGAGGGACTGGATTCAAATTTTCTCTCTTTGCCTCCTTTCCTCAGGAAGGAACCCGAGGAAGCTCCTAGAAATTCAGTCTGAAATAACTAGAGCTGAATCCAGCAAAAGGCCTGGTCCCAGGCAGGATGTAGACCAGACTCTGAGGATCAGGTCCCAAGGAGCCATGTGGGAATGGCTCCCCAAAACCACCCAGCCACCCAGAGAAAGCCCCAGCACTAGTTTCAACCCATCTGATCAGCACTTGCTTTAGAACTGTCTCTGCCCTAGATAGGGGAGCATCTCATGGGGGGCATTATCTCAAGAGCACTCCTTTTAGGTCAGTGTCCCCTAGAAGCATGCTGGGAGCTGAGTCTGGAAAGGAAATAAGGGTTCCTACTTCTGGCTTAGAAACTACCATTTGAGCCAAACCAAATTCCCTGCTGTTGGATTGGGGAGAGGTCAACTCACTTATCAGAGCTTATTTTCACTCTAGCACTTATGTCCCAAATACTCTGATACAAGAATTATATATAGTCTTGACATTTTCTAGACCCACTGGGAGGTTCCTGAAGTCATTTCCTATAAGGTGAGTTGGGACTTTGCCCTCTGCCCCAAATTACTTACTGCCCCCCAAAATTGAAGAGGACACACAGATTGGACCCCCCTCAGCGAGAGGCCACAAGAGCCCCAGTTTCCCCCTAGCTGCTAGGCCAGGTCCTGAGTCAAGGGCAGGGCTGTGTCTACATTTCTATATTTCCAGTACCAGGAACATAAAAGGCATGCAATGAATGTTGCACACATGAAATTTAAAAGATGTGAACCAATAAAAATAACGGGAGTTGTCTCACTAAGTAACTTGCCCAGCGTTATATAGTTAGAGTTGCTGGGCTGGGTGTCTGAACCTAGTCTCTCCGACTTCACAAGGACAATGAGTAACTGCTTCTCAAGTACCCACAGGCTGAGGCAGCGGGGAGTAGAGCCAGAAAAAGGGTGGAACTTGAAGGAAGAGTATTTGAAGAATACTGAATTTGAAGGCAGGATATGAAACAGATGGAGAAAAGGCAATAGGCAGTCTAAGCATGGAAAGGGGCAAGCACAAAAACTGAGGAGCGACACCAAACTCTGTGCCTTGGAGAGCCACTTACTGTTGTGTGACCTCAGCAAGCTCCTTAACCCCTGTGCCTCAGCTTGCTCATCTGTTAGCGTGTGGATCATAGTAGCACCTACCTGGTAAGTGGTTGTGGCCATTACTGGAATGAACATATGTAACATGCCTAGGCAGGGCCTGGCACATAGTTAAGACCCAATAAGTGTTAGCTGTTAGTTGCTTGTTTTGAAGAGAGGGAGCACCCTGGGCAATGACCAGAGGCACAAGGATGGGACCAGGTAGAGGGACTCGTCAACAGTAAGAGGGACCTCAAAGCTCACTTTAGAACACATTGAGCTCTCATTCCTCTGAGCTCCTACAGCCCTTATAGCACATTCCCACACCCTAATGTTCGTCTCTGTTTTTTGTGTAAATATATTTTCCTCTCAAGTGAATAGTAAATTTGTTGCAGGCAAGGACAATGGATACTTAAAAATTGGTGAGGTCTTTAGAGTTAGAAGTCCAGCTTCCATCCTGCTGGGAGGCTGCTCATTAGAACATCCATGGCAGTTGTCAGCCACCCTGTGCTTGCATACTTCCAGCGGCAGAGAGCTCACCATCATGTGTTATATTCCAATCCACAGTTGAGCAACTTGGTTATGAGTGTCATCCTTATAACGAACTGAGATATGGCTTCCTGTAGCATCTAACCCTTCTCCTTTTTTTTTTTTTTTGATATTTTTTATACCCCACAGGATATAATATAGTACTAGATACATCATAAACCCTCAGCAGAATTTCACCTCTGTCGAAATTCGGGGCCTGTTCTCCTGCTGCTGTTCCCCAGGTCTTTGCTCCTTCTCAGGTCTCAGTATAAATGCCTCCTCAGAGAGCACTGACCACTGTATTTAAAGCTGCCCACTGTTCCACCCCTAGTCCACAATCACTTTGTGACACATCGTCCTATGATTTTCTTCATGGTATTCATCTCTTAAAAAATCACTTTGTTCATTTATTTCATTACTTGCTTAGCGCTGTCTTCCCGCTAGAATGTAAGTGCCTTTAGAATGGGAATCTTGGCTGTCTTGTTCACCATTTTCCCAAGTGCTTAGAAGCACTTAGAATGTCTAGCCCATAGTAGCCACTTAGTGAATGAATGAATCAAGGAAGGAAGGAATCTTCTGTACAAGATTCTAGATAGGTGGACATCCAGCCTCTGAGGAGCTCATTACCATCCAAGGCACCATATTCCAAAACTTCCCTGTAAGTGGAGGCTCATCTTAAGCATCTCCCAGTGGCTTAATTTCTACTCCTTGAGGCCCATTCAGAACAAATCTTCCTTTCCACATGGTAGCCTATTCTATTTCTGAAGACTCTTGTTCCTTATAGGTAGGTGCTGGAGACCTAGCTACATCCACAACATGGGAGAGACCAGTTAAAGACGGAGGAAGAGGATTCTGGGAGCTGTTTATGTTCCCACCAGACCCAGGCCAAGGCTCTGCACCCTCGGCCCTCAGATCAGCAGAGAGTGTCCCTTATGTGTGGCACTGGGGCACAAGGGAGAGGAGTAACCAGGACAAAGGGGTGCTGTGTGCTTTTGGGATGATGGAGGCTTTCCATACCTCACTGGGGCAGGTGGGCAGGATGGGCCTAAGGGTTCCGGGGATTTCATCAGATAGACAGGGAAGGAAGGCCACTGTTGCAGGGGACTAGAGAGGAGGGAAGAGTGCCAGCACCTGGGGAGATGAAAGCCCCAGCTGGTGGAAAACAGCCCTTGGAAAGGGCATGGAGTTGGAATGAGGCTGGAAAAAAACCGGTGGAAAGAAGCTCAGTGAGGGAAATTCAGTGATTTCCTGGCCTCATGGGCCCCCAGGGAGAGGACAAAGGTTGGCACTCGATAAAAAGCAGCAGAGCCCAGGGCTCACACTGGTCCCAGCTCCCCCCGAATGCTGGGCAACTCTGGGAAGACCATCAACCCATTCTCGCCATGCCCTGCAATGAGGGGGTGCCTCCCACCCCGTGTGATGACAAACAAAACTTAGGGAGAAAGGCCCACAGAAGTCTACATGTGGCTGACCCTCAGTGACCCGCGCCAGAGACTCAGGAAACACCACCTGCCCTGAACCCTGCTTAATTCCTGACCATATTATTCATCCGATAGTTGTTGGGTTGCCTCTTTTGATCATTCTTTGAAGTATTAGACTTACCTTTTGAATTCTTTTTAGCTCAACCTGATGTTTAAATGAGCTGCCCTGTCCTGTAGATGTCAACCATTCTGTGTAACTTCTACTCACCCTTTAGATTTCAGCTCCAATGTCACTTCCTCGGGGAAGCCTTGCCTGACCCCACGCAAGGTCTGGTCCCTTGTTATATTCTCTGATAGCACCCGTCCCTCTTCATAATAGCACTCATCATGGTTTGCAATTATACCTTCATTTCAATAATTTTAAATTGATGTTTGTGGCAGACCATTGCAAGGCTGTCCTCAATCCTCTTTTCTCCTAATTTTACACATCCTTCGCATGGGGTTTTATTGACTCTAGAGGTTTCAATTATGTTAGTAACACTCCAGCCTCTATCTCTAGTTCATTCTCTCTCCAGACCTGAGGTATTTATGGTTGCCTATTGATATATTATAAGTGTCTCAAACTTCTGAACCATTACGTTTGTCTGTCAACTTGCTCTTCCTGAGTTCCCAGACCTGGTTAAAGGCAGCAGCCTGGCCACCTACCCAGGTTAAACCCCTGGAGCCCTCCTGCCTTCTCTCACCCCACATCCATCACACACCACACCCTGCTGGGCCCTCTCTCATGCCTCTGGCAAGTGCCCTCCTCTCCACCCCATGTCCATGGACTCTGTTCAGACCTTCACACCCACTGCCTGAGATGCTGCAACAGCTTCCTGTCTCTTCCTGCCCCAGCACTTCCTCTGCATTGTGACCAGCATTGTCTCCCTAGAAGCAAATCTGAGCAAAGCACGGCCCTGTTTGGAGACCTTGACAGTTCCCTTCTGTCCACAGGTCAGAGCCCAAATTCCTCCACATGGCATACAAGGCCTTAATTCACTTTCATCTCCCATCACTTCCCGCCAATTTATCCTACTCCCTAGCCTTACTTTACTTTAGCCCTACTCTGAATGCCTTACTTCTAGAAAAGTCCTATTTGTCTTTTAAGTCCGAGCTGAAATTTCTAGTGGTCGGAAGACTTTCTTGACCCTCAGAGGTAGCATCAGTCCCCTTCCTTGCACTGGTCCTACGGTAATTTGTTCTTCCCCAATTGTTATAGTTGTCGTACAGTGTGGTGGCTAAAAGCAGACTCTGGAACTAGACTGCTAGATGTGTCACGCTGGGTATGTTACTTACCTGTACTGTTGATCTGTGCCTCAGTTTTCCCTGTTAAATGAGGATAACACAGTTCCTACCTCATATGGTGGCTGCGGGGATTATATGAGCGTGTATCCACCTTAGAACAGTGTCAAACGCCCAGCAAGCCCACTACATGTGTTTGTTCCCATTGCTATCATTTATTACTATCCATCTCCCACCTCCACCCCTGCCAGACTCCAAGTTTCTCAAACCAGAGATCTCCTATCCCAGCCAAGTACCTGGTGCACAGGAAGCCTTTGAAAAATGTTAGTTGAACAAATGAGAGATGGGGCCAGCCCTGGGATTGCAGCTATGCCCAGGTCCCCAGGGCCACACCTCCCTGATGCTGAACTAGTTGTCAGGACGTATGGTACATACCTCCTGGACTGTCCGTGCAGGGTGAATCTGGAAGTTGAATATAGCCTGGGCCACTGAGGGGATGACATTCACCTAGAGAGAAAATCACAAACTCTGGCCTGATGCGGTCTCAAGTCTCCCACACCTGATGCCCAGGAAATGTCAACTACCACCAGAAGGGGGAAAGGAAGTGATTTGATTTAAAGGTCCCGGGCTTAGTTTCTTTACTCTGCCCCTTGACTCCCTTCTCTGGGCCCTTGACATGTGGTTATGGTCAGAGCTAGAGGTTTGTCTCTGCTTAAGGCCAGACCTTCATGCTTCTTGGAGCTGGAGGGGGTCGCAGAGAGCTGCTCAGAGCAGAACTGCTTTCTCTGACCACCCAACATCTCTGTCTTGGCCCTGTGCAGGGCCACTGGCAGCCTTCTGTGCGCGCTCTCTTTCCCAGGGTGCCCAGGACATTTCCACAGCAGTCAGTGTTGGTGCCCTCTGGACAGGGCACCCAGAGCCTCTGCAGGCCCCCATCACGGCGTGTGTGATCCTGAGGAGGATGCTGATGGTGGTGTCTCCCATGTCCCACTGCGAAATTTGACTCTGTGCTTTTCCTGACCAGGAAGAACCCAGGACCAACTGGAGAAGAGAGTTAAGCTATGGAGGGATTTTTCCTCTGAGGCCATGAGAGAAGAGACCTCTCAACTGCATATCTTTCTTTGAACTGCTATGGTGCAAAAAAGCACTAGACTACGAACAGGAAAACTGTGCTTTTACAAATTAGCTGTGTGATTTTGAATCATTACAACCTCTTTGGGCCTCTGTTTCTCAACTGGCAATTGGGGCAATAATACTCATAGAGCTGTACTCAGGAGGATCAAGTGGAGTAACAAATGTGAAAGTATTCTGGACAGATAAAAACACCATTCAAATGCAAGGACACAGTACGCTTGTTTTGGTGAAAACTCTAGGCAGCTGGTGAAGACACTTCGGGTCTGACTGACACACTGGACACTCCAGTCAGTTATGCCAGGAATTAAGCACCATTTGTGCATACTCAACCTGGGCTCCAGATTACCAGATTTCCACAAGGCCGCACTGTGTTCTAGGTGAATGGTGCTCCTCAAAGTTGTGCTGGTGGGACTGGTAGTAATAGGAATGGTCTAACTCCTTTCAAGATTTCAGAAAGGGGGCCAGCCCAGTGGCACAGCAGTTAAGTTCACACCTTCCGCTTCAGTGGCCCAGGGTCCACTGGTTCAGATCCTGGGCATGGACCTACTGACCGCTCATCGACCCATGCTGAGGCGGCGTCCCACATAGAAGAGCTACAACTCTACAACCATGCACTGGGGCTTTGGGGTGAAAAAAGAAAAAGAGGAAGATTGGCAACAGATGTTAGTGCAGGGCCACTCTTCCTCAAAAAAAAAAAAAAAAGATTTCAAAAAGGCCTAGACCCAGGCTAACGAGCGTGGCTGTGGCTTGTTCCTTTAAACAGAGATGCCCCTCAGTGGGCAATCCAACTGGAAGTAGACCAATTTGCTGAAAAGTAGTTCTTGGAATAAAAATTTATCAGAGTATTGATTCCCCTGAAACTTATTTTTATAAAAGTAAACCTCATATAGAATTTATGTTTGCTAAGGCCACTCAATATTTAGCGTATTTTTGGAGAGGACAATGTGCAGGGTCTGTGACAGCAGAGCTCACCTCTGCCATATTTTAAATGTAGTATAGATCACAAATGTTATAGATTTTATAAATGGCAGGTGAGTTTCTCTCTTTCAACTCAGGATGACACGAGGGGAAAATACATCAATCATTCATTAAATTTGTTAGGTGGATAAATCTTTCAAAATATGAGAAAGAATAATAAAAAGATCCCTGGTGGTAGAAAGGTTAGAAACCTTTAGTCGACATGACCAAAATGCTAGGTGAACACAAAACATGTTGAATAAGTATTAACTCCCAAATAACTCCTCTTCACACTAGTGTAATGGTTGTTTTTTTGAAGGAGTACAGACCCAAAGAACCTGAGGGGGACATAGACACCCCCTAAATTACACATATACAAAATTTGGACAGCAATTTCAGAGGGTTTATAGATCTCAGCTAGGACCCTTGCTCTTAAGGCTTACCCAACTGATGACACAGGACAGTTCAGCACTGGGCCTTCCTATCATTCAAACTGTAATCAGAGAAAGAAGGAGGAGCCAGAGATAAAGCCAAGGGATGGAGAGATAGGTGGGCATCGAGGAAAAGGTGTATAGGAAGAATCAGGCAATGTTACCTTGACCCCTGCATTGAACATGGTGAGTGCTGTGGTGGTCCTGACCAGCGCATTGGTTATGTAATTCCTCTCCATTAACCTAAAGCAAAAGGACTAAGGTCAGACATTAGGAAGAACTGTCTAATATGGAGAAAGAATGGGTTGGAGGATCACCCACTTTCCTGAACCTCGGAGATCTTTAAGACTAGGAGGGACATCCCATATATGAATTAGATGTAGTGTCTGGTGGGTGAGGGTCGATTGGTCAGGCCCAGGTAAGCCAAGGTGAGGGGCCTAGGGGTTGGATATGTTTGGGGTGGGGGATGTGAAGGAAGGAAAAGACAAAACTTTACCTGCTTACAAGGGGCTGAAATAGCCACAGGTTGCTCAGGACTATATTGATAGGGAAGGGAAACTGAAAGGGAAAGAACCAGGTCAGCATAACAGGATCACTGTACCTGAGGCCTGAGTCTCCCTACTTTAGATCCCCCTCAGGTCTTGGCTCAGCCACTGGCTGGGAATAGGTAACAAGAGGCAGAGCACTGGACAACAGTAGGGCCCTTTTATTACTCAAAGGCTACTTCTCTGCCACTCTTTCTTCCTCTTTTACACCTGATCAGGAGCATGCAAGACTCCTTCCCACACCTCATTTGCCAGTTGCTGCAATGTCATCTTCAATGGCCCGCTTCCAAACATGTTTGGCATTGGTCTCTGCTCTAGTCTGGAAGAGAAATGGAGTTCTCAAGACTTATCCAACCCCAGTCAAAGATCAGTGGTCTGAAGAGAAGGAGGGAAACAGGACGTTCCAACAGGTCTGGCCAGAGGTCTCTCACTCACCGCCCTATCACCTCTACCAGTCCAACCACTCAAAGTTCTCAAGGCACAAGCGGGGCCACCTCTACTCCACCAGTAGGAGCCATCCCTGTCTACACCAATCCGAGTTAGGGCACCCTACTCTCATATCACCCAGCACACTGTGGCGGAATTGTCAGTCTCCTCCACTAACTGTGAGTTCCATGAGGAAACGGGCTATCTGTTTTTTCTACTGCTGTATGTCCATCAGGGGCACAAAGCCTTGAACATGGTAGATAGTCAGTGTCAGTTCAATACTTAACTGAATAAATATGGTTCTTCTTCCCACTTTGTAAGAAAACCCAGGCAGAGGTGAGTTCTGCTGTCACAGACCCTGCTGCCCTCACTCACAGCCAGCTGCCTTTATTTGTCTTTGTTCTCTTTTCCGAGCAGGTGGAGAAGTTACACAATTCTACCAGTCATTGCCAGCTTTTGATTTCTGACTTTTGTTCTGGACTTTGAACTACTCCAGCCACCTGACCTAGCTTTTGTCTGCTGGCCCTTGCTTGCCATATGGAGAGATCCTCTTCTGCCTCTCACCCTTGCCTGGGTACTGGTGGCCCTCTCCTCCCTGAGGTCCCCACCATGACTTCTTAGCCCAGCTTCAGGGTGGGGAGCTTAGCCTCTTCAAACCCAAAGTGGGCAAGTGCCAGGCCTTCCATCCTGAGTCTGGCAAGGGAGCAGGGCCAGGAGCTGCTTACCGGCTGACAGCGGCTACGAGGATGCCAATGCTCGTCTCCTTTGGAGGAGCTGAAGAGTGGCCTGGAGTCATGTTTACTTGCAGCATGAGGTTAATTGCACCCTTCTCTGAGATGGCAACCCTGCAGCAGAGGATCAGAGAGGGACCTCCTGACTTCCTCCCACCCTGAATTATGCCAGGGGCCCACAGGCCCAGCTGTGCAGTGGTCTGGTGGGCTAGGAGGTCAGCTTCACACTGCTTAAAAAAATCTACACTAGAGGAGGAAGGAAGGGAAGGGAGAGCCTAGAACTGGCTCAAGCTCAGGGCTATTAAAGCGAGAGAAGTAAAAAAAAGAGCTGTCTCAGCATGGCTTACAGATACCAGGCTGCGGTCATCTCATATGGGGTGAGAAGGCCTTCCTGGTGGGAGACAGGGTGCTTTACTCACATGGCAAATGGCTTCTTGAGGTTGGGAATGAAACCATCTACGATGAAGCTACCCTCATCCACGATGAAGGCCAGCTGGACGCCCCTTGCCTGTAGCAGGGCTGAGATCTTCTGAGCCCCTTTGGCCCCTGATACCTGCAGAAATTGAACCCAAAGCCACAGCCCTTCTCAGCCAGACCTCCACAGATAGCCAGTGGACCCACTCAGCTTAGCCAGGGGCTCCAGAACTGCCCTGTCCAGTATCCTTCCTAGGGGCCTAGACAATCCTGCCTCAGAGAATCCCGGACTGTCAGAGCTAGAAGGCCCCTCATTTCACAAATGAAGAAACTGGGACTGGAAGAATGAAGCGACTTGCCCAAGGCCAAAGTGAGTGGCATCACTGGAAATGAAACACACTCATTGAGCTCCCTGTTAGTTCTCTTCTCATCACACCAACACTTCTCAAGGTGTAACTGATGGCCCACCTGCCGGCCTCAGATACTACCAGGGAGTTTGTCAGAAATTCAGATCTACGTATATCACTAAGTGAAAGAAGCCCATCTGAAAAGGCTACATACTGTATAATTCCAACTATGTGACATTTTGAAAAAGGCAAAACTATGGAGACAGTAAAAAGACACGTGGTTACCAGGGGTCGGGGGAGGGAGAGAGGGATGAAATAGGCAGAGCACAGAGGATTTTAAGGGCAGTGAAAATACTCTGTATGATACCATACTGATAGATATATGTCATTATACATTTATTCAAACCCATAGAACATACAACACCAAGAGTGAACCCTAATGTAAACTATAGGCTTTGGGTGATCATGATGTGTCAGTGTAGTTTCATCAGTTGTAACAAATGTACCATTCTGGTGGAGGATGCTGATAACAGGGGAGGCTCTGCAAGTATGCGGGTAGAGGGTATAACGGGAATCTCTACACCTTCTTTGAAATTTTGCTGGGAACCTAAAACTGCTCTAAAAAAGTAACATCTTTCAAAACCAAATTCAGATCTATGGCACAGGGCCCAGGAATCTGCACTATGGTCAAGGGCCTTAGATAGTTCTGGCACACAGATACACGGAGAAGTTGGTAAACCACCACACCATATTCTGGAGACCTTGTAGCTGGGGAGCAAACTGGACTAAGGTGAAGCCCCCCCCCCGCCCCCAACCAATAGGGGTCCCAGAGATAGACACAGAGTGAACAGGCTCTGCCTCTTCATCACGGCCCAGAGCAATGAAGAAAGATCTTCGGGGGATGTAGTTTCTGATCAGCAGGAGCTCCAAGGCCTGCAGGATTGCCTGGGGGACAGACGCACAAGGGAGGAGGAGAAAGGTTTATTATCTAAGTGGGAGTACCAGGGCATCAGAGACATTCAGCTGCCTGCATCAGGGCTGGTGGGACTAGGATTGGATAGACTCTCTTTAAAGAGAACCAATTCAAATGGTCCCAGGAGAAAGGATGTAGGGAAGCAGAGCTCTGCATAAAAACCTTTACTACCTGGAGAAAAACATAAACTTATCAATGTCAGAGCTGAAAGGGTCCCCGGGGATCATCTACTCTAATCCCTGTTTCCTGGTTGAGAAATCAAGGCCCAGAAAAGGAAGTGATAAACTGATGGCTGGAACCCAGGTCTCCTGGAGCCAAAGTTCTTTCTACCATAACCTCCCGCCTCCCAGGGGTCAGCTGATCACCCCCATCCTGAGTTGATCTCTAGGGCCCCAAGGCAGAGGGAACATAGCATTTCAGACCAACACAGAGTTCTTGTCGTCCAGTGTGCCTCAACCATGGATAAAGCCATCACGCTCCAACCCAGAGAACAGGGGCACATCCCAGCCTTCCCCAGCGGCAGGCACCACGTCGGTGTGGGCCAGCAGCAGGGAGGGCTGCAAGCTGGCATCTGAGCTGTGGACAGTGAACAGGTGGCTGTACTCTCCCACGACCTCATGCCGGATAAAGCTGGTTTTGAAAACTGTAGGAAAGACTAGAGGCAAACAGATAAAAAGCAGGGAGAGAAAGCCAGATTTAACAGTTTCCTTTGGTTTTCCTACCATTTGATGAAACATGCCCCCTCCCTTTTTTTTCTTCTGAGGAAGATTTGCCCTGGGCTAATATCTGTTGCCAATCTTCCTCTATTTTGTATGTGAGCTGCCACCACAACATGGCCACTGACAGATGAGTGGTCTAGGTCTGTGCCTGGCAACCAAACCCTGGCAGCCAAAGTGGAGCATGCTGACTTTAATCACTAGGCCACTGGGGCTGGCCCCATTTTTTTTTAAAACATGCAGCCTCCTTTAGGAAGCCTTCTGGGACAAAGCCTGACTGATTTCTGATTTGCCCAGATGACCTTGGAAATTCCTCTTTCCTGTATTTTCATGCCCTATGACTATGTAATAACATGCACATCAGGACTCCACCACTATGACAGTTAATAGCTCAAGATCTGGCTTGGTCCAACCTATAACATGTTATCATAAATACATGTTACAAGGCTATGCAGACTAGAGGTGTGTTAAATTTTGAGCGTAGTCGGCCCTAGTATCCCAATTTCTTGGAACCAAACATGACTCTTACATGTATAAAAAAATCAGAGATATTTTTCTTATAAAAAACTGTTTGGGTTATATGGAGATAAAAGATTGTTCTGTCTAGCACAAGGCCACACTTCTGTGTGCAGGCATGGATGTTTCCAGGGTCAACTATTCAGGTTACAGGTAGGTGTTAACACAGGTGGCCTTACATATACAAGAGAAAGAACTTTTACCTCCCTCTGGGCTTTGTGGCAAGAGTCCACATACCTCTGTGCATACCTGAACAAAGACCCAAAGAAGAATATGCTTTTATCTTGTCTGCCAGCTTATCTAGTTTATTGTCACTGTACACTGATTTCCCTATTTTTATCTCCTATTTAGTAAAGACTTCCAGCCCATCTTCAGCCTGGCTGATCCCAGATCCACCCGTCACAGGGTGTTAGACCGGGGGGCTACTCGCTGTGCTGAGGCCAGCTTCTCCCACCCCTGACAGCTTGGAAGTGGCTGTTTTTCATTTGATTTAGGAGGATGGCCTCACTACTCCCCATGAGCTTTTCATATGGGGGTGTGGGAAGTCCAAGTCTCCTTTTTTTCCCTCGATCATCCTTCTTCAGCTCATGTGCGGTGGGGTGAGGGGAGAGGACTGAAGTGACAGCTCACAGTTGCCCTGTCTGGCAGCTCAGAAACGTGTTAGTAATGAATCCAGAGCAGGGACTGGGTAGGTGGAGCACGTGTGTGTAGGCACCTAGGTGTGTGTACAAAGGTGGGGTGGGTGGCGCATGGGGCATAGTTCTGGAAACTTGCACAGGAAGAAGAAATTCTTAGTCCTACCTTTTGATGATATCATATTTATTGACCGACACATTGAGGACAAAGATTGGAAGAGTTCAGACTCCAACCCAACAGTTATGTGCCTTAGGTCTTCAAAGGGCAAATCTATAGCTTCTATCCTGTCTCCATTCTCACTCCTGGATTCTCCCTTCTGTACCTCCTCACTATGTACAAACTCAAAAGAGGCCCGTGGGAATTAGATTGCTCTCTGGTTAGTCACAAAATAAACTTCTTTATCACCCTGTAAAAGAACCGTGTCTGCAAGCTACCTCTCCCACCCCTTTGCACAGTCTGTGGCTGACCTTTACGAAGGTGTTCTCCAAACTCAGCCAGCACGGTCGTGTTGAACTTGTTGGGGCTGAAAGACACTGTTGGAATCTGGATAGCACCTGTCAGAGTCAGACAGTCAGAGATGGAAGACTGCAGACGTTCACAGCCATTGGGTTTTCCACAGCCCTCAGTGCATAACAAGTTCTTTTGCATACATTATCTTATTGTGGAGGGCAAAACAATCCTGTGAGGTAGGCACTGCTGTTTTCCCTAATTCAAAGGTGAGGAAACAAACTTAGAGAGGCCAGGTGAGCTGCTCAAGATGGTCCAGAAGTAGCAGAACTGAGATTGAAACCCAGGGCTTTTGGGTTTGTTTAGGCTAATATGGTTCTTAAAGGAAGATAAAGCCTGAGATGAGAGGAATGTGGAGGACAACACATTTTGGACCTGACCCTGAGTGGGAAGCTACTATAAATGGCTTCTTAAAGCCTCGCTCTGCCTCTGAAACCACCATCCCTTTGATGAATCCAAGGAGCCCGCTGTCCTGGGACCCTGCACGAATGAGGCTCAGTGTGCTTTTGTGTGCAGAGTGGGCTTATTCCTCATGGACTGGCTCATGCAGAGTCTCACTGATCTCTCAGCCACAGCCAGTGTTTTGGGCACATGATGCCTGGGAAGGGGTGGATTTTGAAGCTCCCAGACAAGCTCCTCAGTCCTAAATAATCTCATCGGCCCTCACCCAGATGTTTCAGCTCCTGAACTGCCAATAGGCTCATCCCTTTGAGCCATGAAGGCCTTACACTCTTCATGAGTTCCGTTATCAGATGCAACCACCACGGGGAAGGGCGACACAGTGAATTATCAGAATATTTGACCAGATAGCTAAGCAAAAACACAGCAGGACAAATGCCCCTGTGGCATCTTGATGTCAAGGGAGGGTCTCTGAAGGACAAACCTACATCTTTTTTTTTTTTTTGGATTTTTTATTTATTTATTTTTCCCCTAACCCCCCAGGCGATAGTTGTATGTCATAGTTGCACATTCTTCGAGTTGCTGTATGTGGGACGCGGCCTCAGCATGGCCGGAGAAGCGGTGCGTCTGTGCGCGCCCAGGATCCGAACCCAGGCCGCCTGCATCGGAGCGCACGCACTTAACCGCTAAGCCACAGGGCCGGCCCCGACAAACTTACTTCTGTACTCAGTTTTGCTAAGTATCAACCTACATCATAGCCCACCACATAGATGGGGAAGTGAAGGTCAAAAAAGATTAAATAAACTGCTTACATGGGAGGCAGAGCTGAGAGCTGAGCTCACGGGTTCTGCCCCTGCTCAGAGTTCTAAGCCACGCTGCTAGAAGCTTTCTACTTTAGGTTCTTATTTAGCTTTTTTTGTGTGTGTGTGAGGAAGATCAGCCCTGAGCTAACATCTGTTGCCAATCCTCCTCTTTTTGCCAAGGAAGATTGGCCCTGGGCTAACATCCGTGCCCATCTTCCTCTACTCTATATGTGACGCTGCCACAGCATGGCTTGACAAGCGGTGCGTCGGTGCGCGCCTGGGGCCCAAACCCCAGGTCGCTGCAGCGGAGTGCGCACACTTAACCGCTATGCCACCGGGCGGCCCTGGGGTCTTATCTAGCTTTTGCTTTCTTCAGTGCAAAGAGACTCCGGTGGGCAGCTGCCCACCGCCTTTCAGAGGACTATTTATTCTATGCTTTGGGAAAGCCCTACTCTGCCTCCCAGGCCTGTCACTACAGCACACGCACCATTTATATTCACCCATGGGGGTGAGCTTTTGGTGCCTTATCTGCCTGCACATGTTTATGTAAGCAGTTTCTTTTAACCCATTACTTAATGAAGAGGGAAAAGACTGGAGCTAAGCCCAATGGTGAGGAAGGATCTCATTATCCCACAGGATCTAGCGTTCAACAGAAACTTTCCTCTTTTCTCTAGGAAAATGCAGATTCAGAAAATAAATGAGTTTTTAGCCTTGGTTTGAGGTCTAGGGGAGAGATGTGCTTTAATTAGGAGAGGAAATTAGGAATGCCCCACACCCCAGTAACACCCCACACTCCTTCTTGGAGCCATCTGGTGCCCAGGGGGTCCTATAGGCACTAGATGTTGTCACACAGTGCCCAGTCCTTGCTGTGGGGTCCTGGGGAAGATCATTTCACTGACTTAAGCCTCAATTTTCCACCTCTGCAGATGATAAAATTAAGGTCATTCAGTCATAAGATATCGCAGAGGTTTAACATAAGTGAAAACTTTCAAAGGTTAAAAGTACAAATAAAAGCGGTTGTAATCCTCGAGGCAAGCGGGGGTAGGGTGGGTGACGGCCATGCCAACAGGGGCGAAGGCAGGGAACACTGGAGGCCCAGAAGCCAGGTCTGCGGGAGGAGTGGCGTCCCCAGGCCAGGGCATGAGGTGCCGGGGCTAGGAGTAGCGGACCCTCTGCGGCGGGAGAGGGGAATCATGTGTTGGCCCGAGAAGACAGGGACCTATACCTGAGAATAGGTGGGCGAAGGGGACCCCAGGCTCACCTTTCAGCCCTTCCTTCATCGCGACGCGCTCCTCTTGGCTGAACTGAGAAGGGATTGGCGATGCCCTCTGACGTTCGTTGCCCCGCACGCCGTTTGATCTGGAGACGGCGGCGATACCTAGCAGCAGCACAGCGGCCAGGGCCAGCACGCAAACGTACCGCCGAGCCACGCTTCTCTCAAGCCCGGCTGCCGGTCCGCTGCTGCTGGAGTTTGGACCTAACCCCCACCCGCGTTCCTCGCTCTGTCTCTGCTCCAATTCCCGCAACCGCCTTAGCCCCACCCCATTCCCAGGCCTGGCCAATCATCGCTTGCCTGGGCCTGCGGGACAACCAATCAACGGGACGGTCCCGCCGCAGGCCCTCAAGGCCTTTTGGGGGTGTGGTTTCTCGCCCTGCAGCAGGCTGGTGTAGCAGAGGTGATGTAGGACTCCAGGCGAGTGGTGGGTCATGTCTTCACTTGATCTTCTTTGAGCTACTCGTAAATCCCTTGCTATAGGACAGCAAATCAAATTAAAGGGGGAAAAAGCAAAATAAAATCGACGAAGTTTATTAAACCTTAATCTGCTTCTCGCTTCCTCTGAAGCTTAGGACTTGACCATTCCTCTAGATTCCGTGGGGGGAGCTCTCCGGGCCCCTGGCTTGATTTCATCTGAAATTGGAACAGTATTCCTGTGTCTATAGACAATGCAATTTTGTTTATGAGTTTGATTGGCCTGTAATTTTTCTTTTTTGTACTGTCTTTGCTTGGATTTGGTGTCAAGTGAATAGTAGCCTCAGAAATCTAATTGGAGAATATGGTCGAGATTTCTAGCGTCCCCGATATCCATTCCCGATTCTAAGGAACAACAGTCCTGAGTTTGAGCTCAACACATTGATACCCAGCTGAAAGACCACACTTCCCAGACCCTTACAGCTAGGTTTTGCCATGTCACTAAGTTTAGGAATGAAAGATAAGAAGTATGGCATGTGATTCAAGGGAGTGTCTTGAAGGACACACTCTTCTTAAATCCCTTCCTCCATTTTCCGATATGATGGCTGCAGTTCTAGCAGCCATGTTGGCTTATGATGATAAGGTTCACACTGAGGGAGGACAGAGAGCAGAGCTGGAGGAGCCTGAGTCCTTGGGAGCTTCATGGAACAACCATACCAGCTCTGCACTGTCTACCTCTGGACTGCTTTTACAGAAAGAGAGAGAGAAAGGGAGGTAGGGTGGGAAGGAGAGAGGGAGAAAGAGATTTCTACCAAGTTTAAACCACTAAAGGAGTGACTTTCCTTCTTCTTCTTCTTTTTTTTTTTTGCATTCTCTGGAAGAGTGTGTATAAAGGTGGACAAAAACTCTAACATTTTTCTAATAATCCAAAAAAATAATTGGGGCCTGGTTTTTTCTCTGTGGGAAGATTTTAATTTACTAATTTCTCTTAATGGTTATGTGACTTTTCAGGCTTTCTACCGTTTTCTTGATTCTACTTTGGTAAATTATATTTTATTAGCAATTTATTCATATCATCTAAATTTTCAGCTTTATGTAATTAAGAGCTTACACTCTGGAGAGCCAGATTGCCTCAGGTAAAACCCTAGCTCCTCCACTTGTATGGAGTTGTGCTGAGTGATCCTGGGAAACTTACTTAACCTTTCTGAGCCTTAGTTTCCTCTTGTGTAAAATGGAGATAATAAGAGTACGTACCTCTTAGGGTTTTTGGGAAGATTAAATGAGTTAACACATGTAAAGCACTTGGAAGTGTGCATAGCTTATCGTAACCATTCAATAAATGTTAGCTGTACTATTATTATTATATCCTTTCCTTTGCTTTCTTTGAGTTTATTTATTTTTCTTTTTCCAACTACTATAGGTGAACATTTGGCTCCTTAATTTTCATCTTTTATCTTTTCTGATAAAAGCATTTAAGTCTGTAAATGTCCTTTGAAGCACCACTTCCTTGTATGCCACAAATTTTGATATGTAGTCTTTTCATCATTGTTTAGGTCCTAAGTGTTTTTAACTTTCCATATGATTTCTTCTTCGACTATGAGTTATTTAGAAGTGTTTTTAAAAAATATTCTAAATGCATATTTTTGTTCAAGTTATCTTTTTGTAATTGATTTTTAACTTCAATGCATTGTGGTCAGAAAATGTGGAATGACACCTATTCTTTGAAATTTGTTGAGAATTGCTTTAGGCCCTAGCATATGATCAATTTTTGTAAATATTTCACATGTGCTTAAGAAGAAGTGTAAATTTTAATCGTGTGAGCAGATTCCATATGTCCATTAAATCAAGGTCATTGTTTTTTTTTCCTGTGGTGAGGAAGATTGGCTCTGAGCCAACATCTGTGCCTGTGCCAATCTTCTTCCATTTTGTATGTGGGATGCTGCCACAGCATGGCTTGACAAGCAGTGCATAGGTCCACACCCGGGATCCGAACCAGGGAACCCCGGGCTGGGCAGCAGAAGCAGAGCACTCAAACTTAACCATTACGCCACCAGGCCGGCCCCTAAATGAAGCTTGTTTATTTTATTGTTTAACTCTTCCTTACCTTACTATTTTTTTTTTTATCTGTATGACGTCTTGTTGTATGACAATGAGAGAGGTGTATTGAAATCTTCCATTGTGTTGGTGAATTTGTTATTTTTTTCAGTTTAAAAAAAATCAGTTTTGCTTTATATATTTTGAGACTATTTTATTTGGTGCATTCAAGTTTAGAATTGTTATATCTTCACATTGAGTTGAAATTTTTATCATGATATAGTGGTCTTTATGCTTAATAATCTCTTTGTCTTAAAGCCAATTTGTCTGCTATTAATATAGCTGCCCCATTCTTTTGGTTAATATTGATCTTGTATATCTTTTTTTCATATTTTTGTGTCCTTATGTTTTAGAAGGATCTCTGGACTAAATTTTTAATCTAATCAGACAATTTCTCTGTTTTATTGATGAGATTAGTCTATTCACATTTATCATGATTACTTATGTATTTGGACTTATTTCTATTATCTTACTATTAGCACTACTTTTTCTATGCTTCTTTCTCCCTATTTATTGTCTTTAAAAATTAATTAAATTTTTGTTGTTGTAGTTTGTTTTCTTATTCTATTCTCTGCCCTGCTGGTTTGGAAATTATATTCTTTGTTATAATATTCATATATTCATGTTATTCATATATTCTTATGATTTACCATTGAAATTTTAGTATGTATATTTAAGAAATTTAAAGTTAAGTCATTAACTCTTTTTCTCTAAACAATATGAAGACTTTGAACACTTTAACTCTGATCACCTCCTTGCTATATGCTATTGTTGTCCATTATTTTAGTTTTTTGATTTATTTTTAAATGCCAGAAATTAGTCACTGTCATTACTATTATTATATAGAGATAGTGTTTCTTTATATTTATTGATATGTTTAACAGTTTCTTTGTTTAATCTTTCTTCTTGAATCTCAGACCTTACTTCTGGGGTAATTTTCCTTTTTCCCAATGTTTATCCCTTGGAAACTACTTTATTGAAAGTCTGATGAGAATCAACTCTCTCAATTGTCTATCTGAAAATATCTTTATTTCATCCTCATTCCTGAAAAATAATTTTGGTTAGCATACAATTTTAAGTAGATGGTGTTTTCTCTTAGCACTTTGAAGATACTATTTTACTGTCTTCTGGCTGCAATTTTTCCGGTTGAGAAGTTCACTGACAATGTAATTATTGATCTTTTGTAGTGAACTGTTTTCTCTCTGGCTCCTTTTAAGGACTTCTCTTTGTTTTTAGTGTTCTTCAGTTTCACTACAAGGTGTCTGGGTGTCAAATTTCTTTCTCTTTTTTTAGAGTGTACAACTCAATGGTTTTAGTAGATTCGTGGAGTTGTGCAACCATTACCACAGTCCATTTTAGAACATTTTCATCATCTCAAAAAGAAACCTTGTACCTTTAGCTATCTCCTTAACTCCCCCTCATCTCCCTCCCCGTAGTCCTAAGCAACCAATAGTCAACTCTCTGTCTCTATGTATTTGCCTATGCTGTTCATTTCATATAAATGGAATCATATAATATGTGGTCTTTTGTAACTAGTTTCTTTCACTTAACATGTTTTCCAAGGTTCATCCATGTTGTAGCATGTATTGGTACTTCTCTTCTATGGCTGAATAATATTCCATTGTACGGATATACCACTTTTCATTTATCCATTTATTCATTGATAGACAGTAGAGTTTCCACATTTTGGATATTTTGAATAATGCTGGTGTAAACATTCATGAACAAGATTTTGTGTGGACATGTGTTTTCATTTCTCTTGGGTATAAAGCTAGGAATGGAATTTATGGGTCATATGGAAACTCTGTATTCAATCGTTTGATGAATTTCCATACTGTTTTCCAAAGTGGCTGCACCACTTTGCATTCCCATCAGCAATGTACAAGGATTCTGATTTCTCCACATCTTTGCCAACACTTATTATCTGAATTTTTGATTCTAGCCATCCTAGTGGGTGTAACGTGGTATCGTATTGTGGTTTTGATTTGCATTTCCCTGATGACAAATGATGTCAAGGATCTTTTCATGTGCTTATTGGCCATTTATATATTTTCCTTGGAGAAATGTCTATTCAGATCTTTTGCCCATTTTTAAATTGGGTTATTTGTCTTTCTATTATTGAGTTGTAAGCGTTATTTGTATATTCTAGATACAAGTTCTTTATCAGATACATGATTTACAAATATTTTATCCCATTCTGTGGATAGTCTTTTTACTTTCTTGATGGTGTCTTTTGAAGCACAAAAGTTTTTAATTGTGATGAGTCCAATTTACCTATTTTTTCATTTGTTGCTCGTGCATTTAATGTCATATCTAAGAATTCTTTGCCAAATCCAAGGTCATGAAGATTTACCTTTATGTTTCCTTCTAGGAGTTTTATAGCTTTTGCTTTTGTACTTAGGTCTTTGATCCACTTTGAGTTAATTTTTGTGTATGGTGTGAGGTAAGGGTCCAACTTCATTCTCTTACATGTGGCTATCCAGTTGTCCCAGCACTATTTGTTGAAAAGACTATTCTTTCCCCATTGAATGGTCTTGGCGCCCTTGTTGAAAACCAGTTGACCATAGATGTGTGTGTTTATATCTGAACTCTCAATTCTATTCCGTTTATCTATATGTCTGTCCTTGTGTAAGTACCATGGTGTCTTGATTACCATTGCTTTGTAGTAAGTTTTGAAATTGGCAAGTGTGGATCCTCCTACTTTTTTCTTCTTTTTCAAGATTGTTTTGAATATTTTGCATCTCTTGAAATTTCAATGAATTTTAGAATCAGTTTTTCAATTTTTACAAAGAAGACAGCTAGGATTTTGGTAGAGATTATGTTGAATCTGTAGATCAATTTGGGATGTACTTCCATCTTAACAATGTTAAATCTTTCAATCCATCAACAGGGGATGTTTTTCCATACATTTAGATCTTCTTTAAT